CTGGAACTCTTAAAGTATGTTTTTTTTATAAGGCATAAAATATAATCTAATTCCAGAGAATTTGTTAATTGATGCATCATATGTATTCATACATACATACATGCATACATGCATATACACACACTGTTCTTCATTTCTTTTGGTTCCATATGATTCTTTTGTGAGTTTCTAACATAATACAGAATCGTGCTACACCATGTATTCTCAATAGCGGGCCCATCTTGCCTCCGTTGAAAATTGATTCTAGGAACAGGGTAAAAAAAGTCTTAACTAATGGTTTGTAGCTTGCCAAAAGGCCACATTACATAAACAGATATACAGGATATCTATGATATAATACATCTAAAATAGGCTTGGGGAGGGAGAGTAATAATGAAAGAAAGGTGGAGAAATATTTTTCTATGAGCTTCATTATATTCTCTCCAGTTGCAGCCATAAGGCAGTTTTTGGGTTTAGCCAAACAAACTTCCTTCTTGCTCTACCTTTGCACCTTCTCCAGCATGGGAATAGCTGTGCCTCTTCTCAGTCGTTCGTTACAGGGCTTCTTTAAAGAACATAGTTCTCATGGATTCCTTTGCCTCAAAATACTTCAGTCATCTGAAACCCTTTTAGTTACTTCCCTAAGCTTTAAAGCATTTTGCTTAAAATTGATTTTTTAAAATTTTGCCAATTTTCCCTTTTCTTTTCTGAACTCTATTCAGTTTCTGAACCATTATTATTCTCTACCAACTGCCATTCACAGTTAAATACATTATAGACTACAGGACCATATTTTAAAAGGGCCCCCATGTAGCACCAGAAAATGATCCTAAATTCACTCCCAGAATTTGTTATACTTCTATGTAGCCAGCCAGGGTTATTTCTTTGTTTCATGCCCGATAGCAGGAAAGAGTTCAGTTATCCTCTACCTTTTAATACTTAGAAAATTTGCAGTATGTTTTTGCCAAACTATGTACTTTAAACAAAGCTCTGAAATTAACCTCTTGCCCTCTGTGCCAGTGCTGGAATCAAAGGGGAGTATATTAACTTACTAGATGTTCAGGGCCACACTAGTTTCTGGTGCCCACCTTGACCCCACAGTCTCTTCCCTATTTCTATAGTCCAGAAAGGAGCAAACTCTAGCAGGTCTCAGTCATACAGTACTGCAGTGCTTCACTGCTTTTATCTGTTTCTTTTTATTTTCTCCACTTCTCATATTTGTGGTGAGACTCTCTGGGTCTTTTCTCTGGGCTAATTCTCTCCTGAAGATCATTTCTCATGGTAACCAACATGCTGGGCCATGATTAGTCTTATATCCAAGCAACAAAGGAACCCTCCTCATTTATTATCTCGACCTTTTCTCAAAGGTTAGTGTTCCTTTCCCTCAGGTAAATGTGATTCCTAGTTGAAGAAATCTACCTGGACTGTTACCCCATCTAAAGCGCCATACTACTCACACACTGTTGATGTGTTCAATATACCTGCGCTGAAGGAAGTTATCATACCTCCTTAGGAGGTTTCATTATTAGTAAAAATGTGCTGTCTTACATGGTAGCTAACGGCCAAGGCTTTGTTGAAGAACTATGCCCTCCCAGTAAATGTAATACCAGTTAAACTGGTGGAGAAAGTTGGGATGAGTAAGTCTCAAAATAAAGAGGAAGGTGCTACTAATAATTATGTAACAGAGACAAATAATTTGGTGTCTTTCCTAATTATTGTAAGAATCTCTCTCAGAATATCTGACTCATCTTTCATCCAGGAAATAGAACCAATCTATGGTTGCTACAAAGCAAAGGTTGTCAAGAAACAGAAAAACATTTTTGTCCTCAAAGAGTTTACAGTTTTTCATAGGATATTACTTGGGCAAATAACTGAAAAAGCAAAAGTAAAATTTTTTAAAGTATTAGGCGTACATGCTGTCTGAATTATAAGTGAAAAAAGGATTTAAAAAGCAAGGGACATGAGCTCAGGCAGGATGTAGTGTTTAGGCTGGGCCTTGAGGGAGATGCAGATTTTAGCGGGCAGAGGCTCAGTTAAGGGTGAGGCATGTGGTGGGGAGATCCGGGGTTTGTCATGGTGGCTTTCATGATAAGCAAGGCTGAGAAATCGGTTTCCAACCAATTGAAAGAAACATGGCTAATAAAGTTCTAAAAAACATGCAGAGTGGAACAAAGGAAAAGCTACATAAGGTAACTAAATGTGTGTAAATCAGGACTACAAAAAAAAGGAAGTGATTCAAAAGTTAAAGATGCTAAAAACCAGATTAGACAGTGTGTAACCCATATGAAAAGTGAATCACTGACAACACTGACTAATCACTAGACGCATGTAAAATATACACAAAGTGAAAACAGCAGAAATTTCAATAGCACTAGCAAGGGTGCAGGGGTATTCATCTGTCTCATTTATTAGCACCTGCTAGGTGACAGGAGCTGCCCTTTAGACATACTGCTACATTTAATGTGAACAATGATCCCGCCAGGTAGGCTTTATGAACCCCATCACGCAGGAGGAAACGGGGGCTCAGAGAAATGGAATCATGTGAGTTAAGTTAGTTGGCACTCCTACTGTGCAGCAGAGCCAGAATTTGATACCTGCTTTTCCTACCTTGAGGCTATGCTCTTTGCCCCATGCCAATCTAGAATGATTTGTATTTTAAGATAAATTAAGTAGATTCAAGGATGCCTCTATAGTAATTTCACCCCTGTTGGCAGCAATATGCCTTCATAAGCGATCCAGGGCTGGAGATACAGCCAGACTTTGGAAGTGTGATGTATGTAGCTCATGAGGCCATCGTCGTCACGTGGATGAGAACAGCTGATGAGCAGAAGTGAAATGTCCATTAGGTTAAGCTCTTAATCAGTCATTTAATAGAGGTGAGGTGCAAGAACCGGGTTTGGGAAACAGGCGACTCTGATTTCAAATTTAAAATCTGCTGTATTCTAATTACATGAAAAACCCTGGACAGGTGACTTTACTTCCTTGACCTCGGTTTTTCATAGAGTTATAATGGTAAGTTAATAATAAATGTATGTAGGGGGAAAAAAGAGGGAGCTTTGCATAATGGAAAAGTATATCATTGAAACTAAAAAGGCTTGGCCTCACTTGGGCATTAGTTTAGCTGAATGGTCTTGGGCAAGTCACAAACTCTGAGCCTCTTCCTTCTGTAAAACGTGGACGGCACCACCTACCTTGCGGGTCTTTTGGGAGACTGTGAGATGACGTGTGTCTGGTCCTGCAGCAGCCAGACTGTCTTATAACACCACATTAAATCGTGAGCACAATGCTTGGCAAAACACAAGTTTCTACCCCATTTTTAAAAAAACTTGGGCTTTATTATAATGTTATTGGTGACTATAACTTAAAAATACTACAGAGATTAAAAATCTCAAACTGTAACAACAGTTTGATAAAAACTGGATTACTTAGAAGTTAATACATTGCTAACTTCGTATTCTTTTTAAAAGATAAACTGATAAGCTTCATAAGTGGAAAATTATACATTTTTTCACTAAAAGCATTCCCTTCTAAAAATACTTTTCACTAAGTGCTTAGTCAATCTGAGAAATAAGAAATTAGTGCCATTCATAAAGGCTTTGATAATGCTATTAGTATTTAACAATACTAATGCTATGTGATATGACTGTTGAGTTAGTGGTCACTATCCATGGTCACTATCTCATATAGGAACCATGAAAAATATCCATCCTTGCAGCTCCTCTCCCTCTTCCCCTCAAAAGCAAACAAACAACCTAATCTAGTCAACCTAATTGATTCCAAAGTAAAGTAAATCAGGATTACACCCTTGCTCTCCCCTATTAAACAAGTCACAAGAAATGCAAACATCACAGATTATAGTTTTAACCTGTTATCTATGTCTAAACATCCAACACAAAGTTTATAAATCTGAGGAAATTTTGTGAGGTTCAACTTTCATTTTGGGTTACACAAATCATTTAAAATACATAGAGAATGAATACACCTCTATAGCTGATTGGCCCTGGTGATTTTTCAGTGTTGTGACCACCAAAAGGGTTACCAGCACTTTTCCTCCTCTCTCATGTAGATGGCATTGTCAATGACTTGTCTCCGAAGAAGTCTCATGTATGCCTTAGGAAACTACTGCATACCAGTCCCAAACGTGCCCTGTGCTTAAGGCTACATTTCCTACATTACCGAGCTCTTGTGAGAAGTGTGAGACTGAAATAGGGCTGCCATTTTCTTTACCTATTCCTCTCCCAAAAGGCTGCGTTCAATAGGGTCATTCAAACCTCCCTCTGCCCAAAGCCAACACTCCCACAGAGATTGACTGATTCTTATGTTTTACTTTAAGGAAGATGGGGACTTGAAAACGTTTCCTAACTGGTTTGTTGTGAGTTTAAAATGCTTTAAAAGAATTTGAAACCAAGAGAAGTTTGGCGCTAACACTGAAATATCCATCCTAGGATGTGGGCTAGGTGTGTTATGTTCTGAAGAAACTAGAATCTGATGTACACCGGCCGGCGTGCGGTGGGGGAGGGAAGAATTGGCCAAGGGAGAAAAGAAAGGAATGGGTGTCTACAGAGCACATCCTAAGGTTCCTGAGTTGCTCACTCCATCACTAAACCACCTTGTTTCTGGGAACCAGCTGGAGAGGAAAAGACTACCGAACCTGAGTTTGGGTTCAAGGCAGCAGCCCTGGCCTAGACACCTGGCTCGTGGGGCCCGCGCGATCCGGCTCTACCCTCTCTCCCCTCCGGTCCTGCAAGGGAGCGGCACCACGCTCAGTCCCTTCAGAGACCTTCAAATTCCTCTGTCCCCAAAGTGTTAACTTCAGGGGCTCGGGGGTGGCAAGGGGTCCGCAGTCCAGAAGGGGCAGGCCCTAAAGTCTAGGGGATTTTTAAGGTAATAAAGAACCACGACCACCCGGGTCGACCCCGTTTTCTCCTCGTCCACCCACTCCCATCCCCCAAGTCCGCAGAACCTGCCGCGGACGGGCTGCGCTTGGCGCCAGGCTGGGGACTTGCGTTCGGAAGCTTGGGATGGGTGGAGCAGGGGTTGGCGGGTCTCTGAGCCCCAGCCGTGTTGGGCTCAGGGACCACACGCTGGGCAGGCGACCACGTTCTGCCTCCCCGAGAGCCGGGGAAGGCAGGGAGGAGCGAAGCCGAGCAAATCCTGGCCCCAGTGCACCCAGCGGACGGAGCCCGCGGTCGTCCGCTGGCCGCCCCTCTCCATCCCTCCGCGGTCCCCGCCCTTACCTCTGCGCGCGAGGGTGCCGACTGCGGAGGGTACTGGGGAGCCGCGAGGTGTCTCCCAGCCGGGCTCAGTGGCGGTCAGCGACAGCAGGGTCGCCCGCGGAGCCGCTGCTCATGGCTTGCCGTGCCGGGAGCACTGCGCCCGCGGCCGCCGCGGCGCCTTCCTCCAGGTCCTCTTCGCGGGCTCCGAGCCGGGACGCAGCTAACGCCCGGGCCCCGCAGCCCTCCCCTCTCCACCTCCCCCGGGCGACGGTGCCGCCCCCAGCACCGCCCCGCACGCCGCCTGGCCAGCGGCAGCCAGCGCCGCCCAGCGTCGGGCCCGGGGGTCGCCGCCGCCGCCGCCGCCGCAGCCCGTCAGCCCCGCGGTCCCAGCCCCGCTGTGACGCAGGGCGCCGTGCCGGGCGCTTCCTCCCCTGCAGAGACCACCCTGCGCCAGCGACCTGCCGGTGAGGGCTGCCGCCTGGCGCTGTGCACTTTCTTCAGGATGGGGGTGGGGGGTGGGAATCGCTCCGCGGCTTCTCGGCGAGGTCTCTGAGGCCTCTGATCCACCCACCTGGCGGCTCTGCCCTAGGAGTCCGCTAGGAATAGTGACTGACCTACCCCACCCCCGCCCCGCCCCGCCCCATCCCCAACAATGTGCGGAATTCCCCAGGCTTCCAGGTGCGCAGCATCCGCTCCGCTGTGCTACCGCAGCTCCTCCCCCGGGTAAGGTAGAAGGGGGCAGCTACAACTAAAAATAGCCCTTTTGGAAACTCCTAGAAAGGACCCAGGTCACTGTAAACATAACTCCGCCCCCTTATTTCGCTCCCCAAGTAGTAACCGAAGGGTGGGAGTGGTGGTGGGACGGGTTGAGATAGACCAGAAAGAGGAAGCCAAAAGCTGATTTCCCTAGGCCGTGAAGCCCATCAGCCCTTTGACACTCCAGGCTCCTTTCCAGCAGGAACCCCCACGTGCCGGGAGAGGGACAGCCGGGCTTTCTGATCTCCGGGCAGCAGGATCCCGGGACGCTGATGTTAAATGCGCTGCCTCTAAGTTCATGATGTGCATGAAGGAGTTGACCGTGCCCGTCAAAACCACCTGTGGTGTAAGAGTATGGGGGAGAGGTTCTTTCTTATTGCTCTGAACCGTGCTTTTCTTCTCCACACTCCCCTACCGAATTTCAGGATGCAAAAGCAAACTCTGCCTTCTTGAAAGCAGCCAACAATCTATATGGAAAAATGTACAGACAAGATTACTAAATAATATAAAGCATTCCAGGATGCCTCATCAATACCAGCCATTTTACAAGCTCCAAAAATTAAAAACTGCTCTGTTCTGGCAACCAGGAAAAGACTGATGTACACAAATAGAGCAATTAATAGATGAGTAACGTCTTTCACTGGTTGGTTGGTTCTTACACAGCAAGCTTTAAGAAAGCAGGCACCTCCTTTTACCCCATTTCTACTTCCAAGCCAAAATGAAAATTTGTGCAAAAGTTGTTCTCTTGGGCATTAACTGCTTCCCCCACCCCAGCTCACCTGGCAAACTCCTACACTTTTGCAATTCCAGTATTGTTTTTGCTCCTCCACCTGCAGAAAACTACTTTAAGTCCTTTTAGCCCTTGGGAGATAGCTCCAACACCAGCCTTAATTACCCTAGATGGAGACAAAAATCTAGGGTGGGGCCTTCCTCCTAGACAGCAGGTGGAAAAATTCTTGGAGTATTTCTAGGATAAAGATAGAGACTGACTTTAGAAATTTGCTAAACATTTCAAGTACCTTGCAAACCACCAGGTACTATGTGAGGTATGTTCAACACCAAAATGTATTTAAAGACTCCAGGAGGCAAGCACTAAGGGTGCAAACCTCCTATGATGAGCCTTGTCCTGCAAGTGCTCTCTGAGCACACCTCTGTCCCTCTTGTACCATTGGAACCCTGACCTCAAGCTTAGGCATCCCTGAAATGCTCCCTTGCTACCCAGTGTCAAGGAAGATTCAGCCCTGGATTTTGGATTTAGAAGAACCAGGAATACTACTCTTCTTGTGTCAATGTGAAGAAGTAATTGCTACTTTAAAAAAAAAATCATCAGTGACCTAACTGCTATAGGGTACTATGAGAATTAGATAACATGCTTAAAGCAGCAAGAACAGTGCCAAGCACATTGTAAGTACTCAATAAAAGTAGCTGTTTTGTACCCTTATTACTACTCTTCATTGCCCTGAAAGCAAAAGGACTGAGAACAGCAACAAGGTTTGGGAATGGGATATGGGCCCCACAGGTTGAGTCTCCCCACTCTGTCCCCCCACCTACTTAATTGCAATAGTTTTGTATACTCTGTGCCTGCTTTGTAATAGGATGAACTGAATATTTCTACATGTGGTCAGGTGATTCACATACACACTAAAGTCTGAGGGGCACTCATCTGAAAACCACTATATAATACTGATTAGGTCACTATTTTGAAATGTTATTGTATAGCATGTAAACCTTAAGTCTAATCACCTCACCTCAGTCAATCTAGTTCAATTCAATATTCACACTTTGTCCTCAGTAAAGCACCAGGTGAATCAGCAGTCAGCCAACTTGTGTGACTACTGGACCCTGAAAAGAAGTATAAGGTGTGTTCTCTAACATGAGGTGTTCACAGAGCATGGGAGAGGGAACCTGGCATGCACATGAACCACAATAAATTTCAAACTAAACATAATTGGTGTTCAGAGAAAGGAGAGGGCACTATGTGTCTATACGGAGCCACCATTTTGACCTTTCACTGAATACCCAGTTCTGTGGGCCAAAGTTTGACATTCTAGCTGGCCTTCTAGAATGACTTTGCACACTTAGACTCTATATAGTTACCATTTAACCATGTACAGGTTAGCAATAGCAAGCAAAGTAGGTTTTCCTGGGCAGTGCAGGGCCATGATGATACAGACAGATCAGGGCTCAAATCCTGGGTCCACTACTATGCGACCGTGAACTTAATTTGAACCCCAGTTCCCCATCTGTCTATTGGAACATTGATACCTACTTTTTAAGGTTCTAGAAAAAAATATCTGCAACCCCTCCAGTGGGCCTATGGAGATGGTAATTATATTACATTGTTTGTTGTTAGCTACAGGGTTGTTAGCTAGAATGCAGGCTGGGTTGTATCACTCCTTGAAGGCATGTTTCAAAAGCCGCCTTCTCTGTGAAGCAGCTGTAGGCTCCAGACAAGTGTAATTTTCCCTTGTGCTCTCACAGCACTTGCTACATATCTCTACATTTTTGCTTTACCACTGGATCTTTATTCATCTCTATGTCAACACTTAGCATAGAGCCTGGTATTCAATGCTGAAAGAATGAGTTTTAAAGTGTTTCAGTTTGTTGTACTGGTTCTGACTTTCAGTTTAGCCTGTATCAATCTAAAGGCTCTAGAACCCACATGGATTCTTTAGTTATAAAGAGTTTACACTAAGATGCACTATTATGTTCATGTATCTGCTTAAACCTTGATTTTGCAGTGCTGGCCTTGTTCGTTAAGGCCATTTTTGCTTTGTTTTGTACTTGATGTCAGTTGATCCTGCCTAGTAATAGTGAAAGTAAAATCTAATTCTAAACCAATACCACCAGCATTCTTTGACCACCCTGTGCACATCTGCTTCCCAGATTAATTCTGAGATTTGTGGCAAGGGTCCTGAGGTAACAGAAAACATTTTTAAGTTTCAGCTCTTAACACTGTTGCAACTATTAGTACTTTCTGAATGAAGAGCTGCAAGATAAAATCCACCTGCAGCAACAATTTTGAAGTCTTTGACTCTATGCCATTAAAAAATGCTAAAATAGGGAGAATTAAACCGCCCCTAGAAAACGTCCTGTGAGACATTGGCCCAAGAGGTAATGTGGTCAAATGTGGTCTTGACCCTAAAATAGCAGGGGAATTTGTGCCAGAGGCGAAGGTGGTGCTGCTGATAACCTAAAATTAGAATACTACAAAACTTGAGGTCAAATCTTCTAAAGTTATCCCTTTATATCTTATGTCTTTGGAAATAATAGTAACGAATAATTACTTAGTAGGTACATACTATGTACTAAGTACACACGAACTTTATGTATCTTATCTTGTTTAATGACCACAGCTCTCCACTAGGCAAGCAGTGTCAGTTTCTCCTGTTGACAGAGGATAAAACTGAGGCACATTATAACCAAGTAACTAGCCAGAGGTCATGTGACCAATGGTGGAAGAGTTAGGAGTTGGACCCAGGCAAGTCTAATTTCAGAGTTCTCGTACTTCTTAATCACAATGGCAAAAGTGTATTTATTTTAAAATTGAATCTATCAAGTATATGCAGTAAGGTTAATGATTTTGTTCAGTAGTTTTTGAAATTGCATTCATTTGTGCTTTTCCCCATAGTGTACTCACACCCTAAATGTGCCTTCATGAGCTGATTTTACAGCTCAGCTTTAACTGAAAAGCAGTTTATGATGGAAAGCAAACTTCTTAAGGAAAGATCATGAAGTGCTGTTGCTCTGAGTGTAGACAATGTGAAACACACCAGGCAGAGAGCCTCATTCTTGAAGTCGTTGTTTATATGGGCCGGTGATAAATAAGTAACTTTCACCTGATAGATATGCAGTGTAAGTTTAAAGTAAAAAATTAGTTTGACATTCTCGGCAGTGATTGTTTTGTACCCAAATATCACTGTTATAACTAAATCTTACTAAATAATATTTGCTTGCCATTATTTAGCACATACAGTCTGTGGTCTAAGAACTTTCATATATTATTAACTCATTAATTAAATCGACAAATGACTGGCTCTAGCCATGGGACTGCATTATGCTAAAGACAATGAAATACTCTTAAGGGGTTTAGAACTTGTTTATTTATTTAAAAATAGGTTAAAAATACATCTCCTAAGGAAGGTAACTCATTTTTTGACAGGACTCAAAATTTTCAGCCATTTCTTAACACTGTATTATATTGTGTATATAGAATGTGCTATAAAACGTCTCAGATCCAGTTTAACACTGACTTGCTTCAAATTTCACTGGCATCAGCCCTGACAAAGCACATAATTTCAAGGCTAAGGAATTGCTTTTTTCCTCTAAGAAACTTCTCTTTTTCTGAGGCGTAAAGATCAATGGCTCAAGAAACCTTACCAGAGTAGTGAAATTGAAGATGCTCTTGTTAGGTAAACACAACTCTCTCTTTAAAAGACAAGTATCATGGATGGTGCTTTGTATACTTAGAAATGCTGTAACTATGCTCAGAGCTCTGAAGATACCACACAAGATATATTTTTTGAGTCTTTCTGAAGTTCATTTATTACTTTCCTAAATTTACTCATGTCATTTACTTCTCTAGGGGAGGGAGGACAAGAAGAAGGCCTGGTTCACCTTGTCAGTATCAATGATAGTGATCATTAATCATAACTGTTATTGCTATTTGTGAAAAGAGCATAAACTGGGATTAATGAATCCTGAATTCCAGGTGTGGCTCTCTCATTGACTACTTTGTGACTTGGAACAAGCCTCTTAGTATCTTTGGAAGCTCAGTCTCCTTCTCTGAACTGAAGGGGTTAAAATGGGCGATTTCTTAGGACTTGTTTAGTGCTAAAACTTTTCACATTAATCTTAAAATAATACATATTTACACTTCTTAGGTTGTAATCAGTAATGGATATAATCACCCTCATGTAATCAAGGAAGCAGGAAGGCATCCATTTCTGCTGTCTTTGGGAAATCTGTCTGAAGCAGGGCGGACTAGTCAGGCAACATCTTCCCAAACTTCCCAAAGTACCTTTGTCTTCTGCCATCCATCACCAGTGAGATAGAGACATCATTCTGCTGAGACATTTCCACACAGCTTTCTGTAGAGCTCTGTCTTTGAGTACCCTGAGAAGTAGGCATCCTGTGCTCAAACTCCCTTGGGGTGTACTATATCCTTCTTAGAGATTAACCACACGTATTAACATGCTTAGGGCTTTGAGAAGTCCTGCATTAAAAATACATGTTAACTTTGCTGAACCTAGCATTTCTCTACCTTTATTTGATCATGGAACTGTTTCCTTTGTCACATCTATCAGCATTTCAAGGAGAACAAAATCTCTCAGAATAGAATACCTGCACGTTATTCTAGAGTTAAGGATGACAGAACCTTCATAAGACTTTTTTTTTAAAGAGAAGGAAATGATATGCTTTATTAACTCATTTAATGAATGCCTACCAAGATAAGCTCTCTCAGAAGATGTTTTCTGCGGCTGTTTTCTTTATAAACAGCGATAATAGAGTGCCTCTCATCTGTAATAGGACAAATAGCATCAATTCTCCCTGGTAATAGTGTAACCCTATTTTTTTTTACACTGAGGAATCTTCCCTTGTCTTTATATATTCTTATTAGCCTCTGGTTTCTTTGACATCCTTTT